ATATTTAGAGGATCGTCGAGGATACATGCAGTGGTGGGTTCTATTTTCAAGGGTTTTCGTAATTTTTCAACCTTCTTGATATCGCATAGGTTACCCTCTTTTAGAATTTGGAGCACTTCGGAAACAATAACATGTCGGCGAGACGTATGGCCAAGAACCGATCTCACTTTGATGTCGTCCAACCTGGACCAAGCATGGATAAGCTGAAGTCCACAACCACGGTTGGTCTTTGATATTGTTTTAAGCCAAATTCGAACTTATTGAAGGCTATCTGTATAGTATGACCTGCAATCTGTTTGCAAACAAAAGTAGTGACTTGGAAATTTATGGGTGTCCTATCCTACCATAGGTTTCATTATGTAGTTGTAGTATCATGCTGACTTCTAATAATGTGAAAAATTCGTTTCTTCAGATTTTTTACTGTAAATTCATGGAATAGAGCGAGAAGATTCATGAGTGAGAAGGTCTAGTCGAAGGTCTTGTACTAGTTTGAATGATTCTATAACGCCGAAAAAATTTTTTGTGTAAGCTTCCCAAATCTTATAGCTATCCAGAAGCTACCCATCATGGACGGAACTCCAAGCGGTGCGCAAGTTGTTTCCTTTTTCTAGGCGAGAAAATCGTCTCTTCCTACTAGAGCTGATGGCGGTCCTGAAGGCGATGTGCTTAGCTTTGAAATGGATCCGCAGACGTTGGCAATCCGAAAGAAGAAAGAAAGGCTGGTTAGGAGAACGATGACTTTTTTACGACCGTATCTGGCATCTCAGCTCAAAAAATCGTTGCAGTTCGAAATTCTTCCGAGTTTTCGCGTACTTCCACAAGTCACTTGGCGATATCATGCTGAGTGTTCTTCGATATGTTTGGGAGGTTTTGAACGCGATCCTGCCGACCCACAGTTCTATAACTGTTCTCCATTGCACATACCGATACTTTGTGGTTGGAAGAGAATGGTAAGGTATCAGCTTCTTCCATGTCGAGCTCCACTACTTCTTTCATCGTTCAGTTATACCTGTATGATAGTTCCACGAGAAAGGTCAGCGATGGCAGGATTTTGTATCGAGCTCCATGTGGACGTTCTCTGGCGTCGAAAAAAGCCATAGCGGCTTATTTGAAGGTATATTCTATTCCTATGCCTTCTGCCAAATGTCTAGAACAAGAAAAAGATGCACCTACC